AGTGGCTTTTAAACCCCAAAATACATTACGGCAAAGACTGGTTCATCCCAAAGATCCAGTCCCCCGGCACAAACAGAGCAATGTTGTGTATGCTGTTCGGTGTCAGGAGGGCTGTGATCAGTCTTACATCGGGGAAACAAAACAGCCACTGGCCAAAAGGATGGCCCAGCACAAAAGATCAACATCATCAGGCCAGGATTCTGCGGTCTACACTCATTTCCAGGCCAGTGGTCACTCTTGTAGTGTGTCAAGGTCAGCTTTGCTGCACCTTCACTACTAATTATTTTAAAATAACAGGTTTTCTCTTTTTCGAGTAAAATTTCTGCCATGTGGCCAAGATAACTGTGAGTGGAGTGTTTAAATCAGTGACATGAGACGTTAATTTCCTTTGACCCATCAGAATAAATGTGGTCATTTATTTAACAGAATCAAAAATTAACATCAAAACATGTACACGTGATTGGCTGATCTGGTTCTGATTAATAAAACTTGGCACGCTTTACTAATAAGACAACAAGACATTTCTGAAGGCATCTAGATTACTGGCAAAATAGAATAGTTGAAAGGAAGGATTGAAGGAGTTTAAAAGGAAAATGGATGAGGGAAGATGTATGTTTGTTGACCAGAATTAGCACGCTTCTTTCAACACCAGCTGAAACCCCCGGTCCACTTAGTGCGCGACAACTTGTGACATCTCTTTACCTTTGCAGATGATGGATCAGCTCAGGTCTAGATGTCCCTATGCACGCTACCTTTACAGCGGCTCTGGTCAGGGTGGCTGGTCATCGTCAGAAGTTGTGTGGTTTACTCCGTTCAACAGAACAAGCTTCCTTCGAAGTTGGAGGGCGTTACGCCCGGGTGAGTTCACAGCGAGGCGCTGTGACTCTGCTGGGATGGACGGACCCTCTTCTCACGGTCAAATCCATCAGCTATTGATTAAGTCAAAGTTCCTTAGGAACTCTCAGTAAGACTCAGTCAGAGATTCCACTCAGAAGTAGAAGACTCCATAGTCCCAAGAAAGACTCAGGAAACTGGAAGACTAGACTGGCTAGACTCAGAAGACTGACTAGACTAAGTAGTTCCAGGAAGTGTGGACTTTTAAAGAGTTCTCACTTCCGGTCACTCAGGACTTCCTGATTGGTTGAAACAACCAACAGGGGGTGTGTTTCAGTGATGTCAGAGGGTTATTAAAAGTCAAAAAGACGGAATGTTTAGGAATGTTTAGTACAGACAGAGAAATGTTTTGAAGGAGTGAGAGGAACGCAGATGCCAGTGTTTCTCTTTTTACCGTCTGCTAGGTTTAAAAACAACACAGCCTGTTCTAATAACTTCCCTCTGACTGTCTCCGACTTTTGACCGACATCACTCCTTCTCCTTTAGACAGAAAATCAAAATGCATAATTATTTTGTGAATAGACATTTAACTGGATTTCTAATTTAAATGAGGATTTAAAAAAAAAATCATTAATACTGTTTCACAGTTGATTTAAGTGAACCACTCATTTTAAGAGTGGTTCACTTCAACTTTAGAAATTATATGAACTAAACACATTTTGCTTATCAAGATATTGTAAAATAGTAATGATAATATAAAAAGAAGAGTGTTCTTTCAATTGATTACTTCAGGATACAATTAGACAGTCTCTGGATGAGCTAATTTGTATTTCTGGATTCAAATCAATGAAATAACAGTTCCTGTCCCATGAAGGTCTTCAGAGGCAGGTTTTGGTCAGAGGCCTAGTTCACTACACTCTTTCAGGGATGAAGATGTTCACATCCTGGACAGAGAGGAACGATGGTTTAAGAGAGGAGTAAAGGAGGCCATCTTTGTGAAAGAAATCGTCCATCATTAAACAGGGGTGGAGGCCTCCGGGTTCAACTGTCCCCCTCTTACAATGCTGTTATTGCTAGTATCACTCAACCCCCTGTGAATAGTAAACAGCCATCAGTGTGCTAATGATCCATTGTTAGGCTGATGGTCCTTCTTGACCATGTGAGCAGCTGGTTTTGGTTGTCAGCAGCAAATTGGTTGATCCACTCTGAGAAGGTGCTATAATAGACTGAGCTGAATACAGCACCTCAGACTGAGGAAGTCTTTCGGATGAGAGATGAAACGTTTCTAAATTTTTTGCTTTTTTTTTTTTTTTTTTTTTTGAATGTCCAGAGGACCAGATTTAACTTTTTGGGGCTAGCTCCATCTTAATTTACATAGCTTATTGTTCCATATTTTCCTAACAGAGCACTTCACTCTCAGACTGCAGGTTATCTCTTGGTCTGTAGGATTTCCAAAAGCAGAATGGGAGGAAGATCTTTCAGTTCTCTTGTGGAACTAACTTCCATTTTCTGTCCATAAGGCTGACACATTGTCCAGTTTTAAGACTGGGCTTAAGACTTTCCTTTTTGATAAATCCTATAATTAGTGTCGGCTTGTCATGCCGTCTTAAGGTTAGACTACTAGAGGACAAATTGACCTCATGTCCTTAAATTAATTGTTAAAATGGAATGGTTTTACCTTTGATACTATTTCATGATTCTAGACCTGCCATTGTGTATCTGTTCCTACCAAACCCAGCTGGTTGAAGCAGATGGACACTTGTCCTGAGCCTGGTTCTGTAAAAGGTTTCTTCCTCATGAGGGAGTTTTTCCTTTCCACTGTTGCCTTCATGCTTGCTCAAAATGAGAGTTCTGTGATGGAGTTAAATTCAAAGCAGTCTGCTCCTCAGATAAAGTCTTAAATTATTATTTTTAAATATAAAAGTTTCTGTTCAGTGCCCTGAGATGACTTCTGTTGTGACTTGGCGCTATATAAATAAACTGAACTGAATTGAATCAAAATTGTGTCAAATCATTATTGCAGTTGTAGTGACCCTGATCTGACCCTGATCTGACCCTGATGACCTCAAATCTATCAGATGGACAGGGACTGTTATTTCATTGATCTGAATACAGTCTGAGCCATCTGGTGACTTTCTTTCTTGAATTAATCAAGCAGAAAAGACCATTTTTATGATCATCACTGTTTTACAAATGTTTGATAATCAAAATTGTGTTAGTTCACTCAATGTTACAGGTTGAAGAGAACTACTCATTTTTATTTTACATAAACAGTAAGTAATGATTTTTATTCCTCATTTAAAGAAGAAATCAGGTTAATATGCATTTCTTGATTTTCTGTCTGAAATGAGCCAAGTTTTGTAAGTATGTGAAAGGTCGAGTCTTGGTCAACTAAAATGTTTACTGAGAAGAAAATGTCATGTTTAATCACCACAGAAGATACAGAAGAGTTTGACTCCACGAAGTCTGCTTTTCTGCAATAATCTCTCTGTCACTTGTTGAACAATCTCATTCTCTGACCTTGGCTTAGATAACATCTTACGTCACAAAAACACACCTCTTTCTGGTCCATCCACGAATCAGAAAGCTCTAAAGTGAACCCGGAAGTCAACTCATTTAAAATGTGGCAACTTCCCAGTTCATGTAGGAGTTAAGGAGGTAAGGGGAGTTAAGGAGTTGAAAGAGTTGCAGGAGATGAAGAATTGGAGAGTCTAAAGAAGTTCAGAGTCTGAAGACTCTGATGTCTGATGGGGAAAACTCTGATGTCTGAAGCCCAGAGTGCTTCCGTTGGAATACAGAATACAGTGACGATGTTGGGATTATAACTTCTGTTTGAACAAACCACGTACGACTCTCTGAGGGTTTGGCAGTTCTCACGGAGACGCTGAAAGGTCTGAAGGATTCTATACCGAGCTGATTCACGTCAACCAGGTAACAGTTTCTTCTTCGACTAAAGTGTACCGGAGGCAAGCTGAGATCTGATGGAGCGTGCACGTTCTGGTCATAACAGATTAATTCCCTCACATATCTCTCTGTAAGATAAATCTCCACTTCATCTTAAACTCTGCTCTCTCTTAAAATCAGTACAGATATTTTAGAAATATCTGAAGCAAAGTCCTAAATCACCGCCGCGTGATTGAAGCTCATTATCTGTGAAACTTGTCTGTTATTATTTTCATATTTTGCCAAATTAATGTAAATGTTTGATGTTAAACTTTGATTCTGAAAATAAATGGCCGCATTCATTTTGATGGGTCAAAGATAAATAACGTCTCTCGTTACATTTCTGTTAAAATTCAATGCACGACATTACACAGTCAGAAAGATGAGGAACTCGTGAAATTGTATGCATATATCTCGTATATGTACTACTACACAGTGTTCTGACCAGGTACACTGGTGACAGTAGATACAGCCCCCTGCCTGAGCTGGTGAGGTTTGAAAGGAAAAGGTCCAACACTTGGCCTCACTCTGTTTTAAATAAGAAAACGGCAGCGTTGACCTGTTGAGGAACTATCCATCCATCCATTATCTTTTATCCGCTTCTTCCATTTTTGGGTCACGGGGGTCGCCGGTGCCCATGTCCGGCAATCACTGTGCAAGGAACGGGGTACACCCTGGACAAGTCGCAAATCCCTGTTGAGGAACCTTATTTTGAAAATTTTCTACTATTTTTAGATGTAGATGTTTTTGTAGATGGGTGAACCTCTGCCCACTTTTACTTCTGATAGATTCAGTCTCCCAGTTTTCTTACAGATGTGTCAAATTAATCTAATGCTATTTATTATTCAAACTATTTAATCTTATAGCCTGATCTGTTTTCAGATTTAAAACTCCTTATTTTACCCTAAAAATGATACATCGTAGTTTAAGCATGTGATGTTTACTTTGTTCCACTGCAAATAAAATATGGGTTTATAAGATTTGTAAATCATTATACTCCATTTTTACTCACATTTTACACAATGTTCAAACTTTGTAATAATTGAGGTTGTTAAAGGAATTAACAGTAGGGTTATCTCATCCTAAAATAAAACCTGTCTGATCTGTGTGGTGTTTCAGGAGGTCGAGGAGACACCGTGACGTTAAGGTCAGCCAAAAGCGAGGAATCCCTGAGTTCTCTGCATAATGTTGAAGGTAATCCTGAAGTACATTTATGATGCCATTTTCAAGCATTGTCAGGGAAACTGCTGTGTCTGAAAAGCTTCTCCTCCTCCTTCAGGGGAGTCGAAGGTGTATCGTCCTCAGCGTCCACGCTCCAGCAGCGATGCCCTGTCAGCATCCTTTAACGGCGAGCTGCTGGACAGCCGGCAGCACTGCAACTCCTATGATAACTTGGACGCTACGGAGGACAGCGACGGAGACGACGGGCCCATATGTGTGCCCGCCCTCATCTCGCCTCCCCGCTCAGCAGGTGAAGATGTGGACTTCAGCCCACCAGACACTGACATGGCCTCGTTGGACTTTGACCCCATGTCGTTCCAGTGCAGCGCGCCTGTCACCTCTTATGCCTTCCCTTTAGAAAAGCCAGCAGGTGGGACTGAGATGTCCACGTTAAAGAGGAGCCCTGGCAGCATCTGTGCCAAGTCCAGCAGCTCTGACCTCATTTCTGCCTCCTTCCCTGGCAGCAGGAAACTCACCAATCCTTACTATTACACTGAAAAACCCACACAGGCTGTGTCACCCATTAAATGTGGGAAGACCACCAGTTTGACTCATTTTGCCCCTCTAGAGCTTTTCTCCTCAGAGATGCCTAACAAGAATCCAGCTGGACAGGCAGTCAGCCCGCAGACATCATCTCCTGTTCTGCAGGGCTCGCCTCCCCTGAGGGCAGCCGAGCTGTCTTTGAGTGAATCTTTTCATATGGAACTGCACTCCAAGCTGACAATTTCTGACACGGTGGTGTGTAAAGACCTGCGTACTGACGACAGAGTTCAACAGGAAGCAGCTGCCAGCAGCCATGAGCATCAAGGTAGGAGCCAAACATTCACAGCTGCAGCCGGGCTGGGCGATGAGTCCAAAAATTGTTCCAGTACTTCAAGTTTTATTATCCCCAAGGTGCAGTTAGTTTCACAGTCAGTAGATATAAAACATCCATACTACACAAGACATTAAATAACAATACGCAAGTCATCAATGTTCATTGAGAAACCTGATCACTACAGGAATAAACAAGTTTTTCAGTCTGTTCGTTCTACATCTGGGCTGCAGATACCTGCGTCCATAGAAGCAACCTGAACTCACCATGGAGTGGTGATCAGAATCTGCCAGAATCAGCCTGGTCTTGTTCACTGACCTCACCTTGTGTAGGTCAGTGAGGTTCTTGACAGGGTTTTACCTGTACCTTAAATAAAACACAGGGAGACAAGAATGAGATTTCTAGAACGTATCTTTGCAAAGAGGGACAGCGTTCGACCGAAGTCAGAACAAAGTCCCACTTGTTTCAGCGTGCGTTCCTTTTTTATTCAGGCAAGTAGGAATGGCAAACATCCAGGCAAGTAGAAATGGCAAACAAGAAACACAAGATCTGGTGGTTTTCAGGTAACAAAGACGTGACAGTTTCTATCAAAACAGGAACTGTGAGTTTCCAACAAGTCAGTAGAGAAAGGTTTCACAGCATTATAGAACAGTTTAAATGAGTATAAGTTTAAACGATCAATTGATAAAGTAAAATACTCTAACATATTCCCTCCTGTTTATCGTTTAAACTGAGTAAAACAAAGAGCTATTTGAGTTCTAAGTTCAGCAGGAGATGCTATGTAAATGACGCGGAAAAAACTCCCAGGGCTGATGTTTAAGAATGTGGAAGGAAAACGCGTCATCGCTCCAGGCCCCTCTGGCAGCGGCCGATTCAGGCTTACTCAGCAGCTTCCTGAAGTGAACTCAACATAGTTAAATCTAAAGTCAAATAAAACAAAACAAAATAACACAAGATCAAAGACCAACAGAAACGACGTGGGCTCTTTATGAGCAACAGTTCTTTATGAATTGCAAAAATGATTGTAACGTTTTTGGGTTGTCTAGATCATGGCCAGGTCAAGCTAAAAACATCATCTTAATGCCTGTATTCAAGAAATACTTTAAGCATTAGAATCATTATGCATTTTGTCTTGGCTGGTTGACTTATTCAGGATGTCACTCTGGGTGCAGGAGATTGTAGGCGTGTTCAGGAAAGTACTCATTCTGCACACGAGCCTGGTTGAGATTAATCAGCATGCCAGTGAAACTTTTCATCATCATGTTCTTCAAACATGGCACTATGCAAGAGAAGAAAAAACAAAACAGGATTAAAACCTGGAATGGTTTCAGTCAGCATTTCGACTTCCAATGCTTCTGGCAGAGGTCCTTGACAAAAGCCCAGTCTCCTAGGTGGGGTCAATTCTTTCAGCCTGCTTGATACACCTGGAAGTTATCCCTGTGGTGTTCAACTGCAGAGCTGGATAGAATCAGAAAATAGCACAAAGAGACAAACAACAGAATAGGACCCTGCCCACATATGTTAGTTCCCATACCAGTTTAGCAGAGATGAACCACCACAACAATAGAAAACCTTCCCAGAAAACAACATGCCAGACCCAGTCTGGTTTCAATTCTCCAAGCCAGGTGACAGGGGAGCCCCCAGGGTCCTGAGTCCAACAGGTTCCTCAAGATTCCTGGCACAAACAGTTAGTTAGTATAATGAATTTATTTTTCTTACCTCATTCAGTCTGTAGAGAGAAATCTTATTAAACGCTTGCGCAGAAAATATATATTTTCTTTGGTTATATCATTGTCAAAACAGTGCAATACAACATTAAACATTTAATTCCACTGAATAATGAAAGAAAGTCGAAATCAGTTAATTTTATTCAGGTCGGCCATTGCTTCGTCGCAGATCTGTTCAGGTGAAACAAAAACTAGGAAAAAAGGTTTACAATACATGACTGCAAAACAGTAGTAAAAAATGTGGTTAGCATACTCTATACATAAAAACCCAATTTCATTTCTTTTCAGTCCAGTCAAGTCAAGTCAAGTAAAGTCAAATCAAATCAAATGTATTTAGGAACACAGATCCACCTTTGACCAAATCAACTTCGAGGGTCTGTGTTTGGATTCGGCTGGGTCTAGGGGCGTCCCCCATAGACCTTGAAGCTTCTGGAACCTTCCTGTACACATTCCAAAGGAAAACAGGTACAGCTCCTTAGTCATTAAAACATGCGGAAAATGTCTTTATCCAGGTGAGCTTAGAATCTGCACTAATAAAAATATTTTAGTTCTAAAACTACATTTCAAACAGTTTTACTTGTTTTTGTAAGAGGCTGTGTACAAATACAATGTGGTTCATAGGCTTCTGATTGGCTGTATACGTGTATATATATTAAAAGTTATTTCTGCAAAAGTAAAAGCTTAAGAATTCCTAGTTAGAAAATCTAAAAAAAAGTTAAATCTGGTCCTCTGTCATTCACTAGTGTCCTGACTGGTTGGGTGAGGCTTGTATAATTAGGAATGTAGTGTTTGCTAAACACTGTAAGACCTAAAACATGACAGCAGGTCTTTAACATTATTTGGCTTTGGGTGATGTAAGATCGTTGTCCTGTGTACTGTGACATCCCTGATCCTAAATGCTGACAACAAACGTCCCAGAAACACAACAGTGCCTGACAACCTGCATCTCGTGCTCACCTTGAACCTTTTCTCAGACAGACTCAACAACACAGGCCACTGGAGTGTGTTTCTGTTTACTGTGTGACAAATGTAAAAACCTAAGATATTATTTTTGTATAACTAATGATCTAGTCATTGTATGAACTGTTTTAAGAACAGTTTTCAGACCTCCCCCTTTGAAACATCTATTGTTTTGCTACAATTTATCAACTCACATATCAACCCTAAAATCCTTGTCAGTCTTACTGTATAGTTTCAGAATGATTCAAACTAGAACTCTAATAAATGGTGTAGTTGTAAGACTATGAAAACCAGCACATTCAACCTAGACTTTAAAACCATAAAGCTAAATGACTTAGCATAGCTCCAATATCATTTGCAGCTGAAACAATTAATAACTAAATAAACTTCATCCCTTGTGGCAAACCAGACCTGCTGAAATGATCTCACTCATAGGGGAAAGCAGACAGATATTTAATTTAATTTTTTTTTTTAGCAAACTCAATCCAAGTCAGGTTTCTGGTACAGGTCTCTCTTGTAAATGAGTCCTTGTGACTCAATGAGACTAACCTGTAAAAACAAAAGTTAAATGAATGAAAAAGTAAATATTTTTTCTCTGGGGGCCAGCATTGTTCATTTTTATATAAGGAAATGAGGTATCCAAATTTCCATGTTCCAAATACTTTTTCATCTATGCGTAATTGGAAAAGGCAGTTTATCCAGCAACCCACATCAGTATTATTAAAAATCCTCATGTCAGCCTGATCTGTTATCTGTGTCATGCTGTTATATATATATATATGAAGAATGGGTCTATGTGAGTGTTTTATTCATGTCACAGCCAATGCAGCACTGATCATGAAAAACTAGTTATTGCCTCACCATCACAAACCACATGCGGAGCTGACACTTTACGCAGACTGCAGTTTTTGTTAGTGACTTTTGACAGCTTGACCACCGCTGTTACTTTGCTGTTAGTCTCTTCCCGTCTGGATATACTGTATGTTCAAGAGTTCAAGAGTTCATCTGTGGGCAGCACCACAGTTCAAACAGCTGTTGAGGTTTAGTCCAGGTCCTCATCTGGACAAAGTTTCACATAGCTCAGTTTGATCCATCAGCTTGTTGCTTAGCTGAACAGTATGCCTTTCAGTCACCGGCTTCACATCATCAGTCCTTTTACTGTTGCCACAGTCAGGTTTTCTCATAAGTCACATTTGGTAGCAGATGTAGTTTTTGTGTCAACCTGTACACATGTGATATTTTATTTGGTGATCAAAACCAGAGGTTCATGATGCAACACTACAATGCTGTTTAAGTCTGCTCTGGGCACATCACGACATCTGAAACTACCTGTGTGTGTGTGTGTGTGTGTGTGTGTGTGTGTGTATGTGTGTGTGTGTGTGTGTGTGTGTGTGTGTGTGTGTGTGCCGTTGCCAGAGTCACTGTCCTGATCCAAAAACCCTCTATGATTAACCTTCTGAAAGGAGAAAAAAGGACCAATAAAAAAAATTAAAAAAATTAAAATAAAATGCAAATAATATCTGTTGGAAAGTTCTATTTCAGAATATCTGCCAGCATCTACCTCCAACCGAGCCATCCTGCATCGTGGTTTGCACAACTAATTTTAAAAACACTCATTTACATAAAAAGTGAAAACTCTTATTTAACACTGAAACCAAAATTAAAGCAAAAATTCCCTATACTCTACGTAACATCATAAAATCTTCCATTGTAAACACATCCGCAATTTCCTTTAGAATTAGGCGAGGACACTTAATTGTAATGTTGCCAACTTATGCCAATGTAGTGAACTAGGCCTGATGTCAAAACCTTGACCTTAGGCACCTTATGGGACAGAAACTGTCATTTCATCGATTTGAATCCAGAAATACAGGTTGACCCATCCTGAGACTTTCTTTCTTAAATTAATCAAGTGAAAGAAGACTACTTTCGATTATCATTACTATTTTACAAATGTTTGATAATCAAATTGTGTTAGTTCAAACAATGTTTA